GAAGGCGGCCGCCTTGGCGGAGATTGTACTCCTGGCCTGTAACTGTCTCGAGTAGATCGGTGTTGGGGATATCCACGTCTTGGAGAGTGATCACGATGGTAATCAGGACCACGAGCATGATCATGGTAATCAGGACCGCGAGCGTAATCATGTGCTGGTGGACGGAGATCCTGCCTCTGCGGTGATCGCTCTCGAGAATCCCTAGAGCGTGGGCGGTAGTGAGAGCGACCGCGTTCATCGGTACGTGTCTGACGTGAGGCGAAGAATGGCTTATCATGTAAGTGGGGATCGAATGGGGTGTTTGTGGAAGCATGGCTATGCTCCTGTGCCGACTTCTGTGCTGACTTCAGAAGGCCTTCGATAAGAACCATCCTATCGGTAAGATCCTCCTCGTAGGAGGGTACATCTTTCCGATTTTTGTGCTTGCTCCAACGTACACCGTCTCGTGGGAATGGCACAGTATCACCGGTTGCATGTAGGCTGCTTTCAAGCCCACGGATTTCATCTTCAATCACGGCGACGTTGACAAGCCTCTTGGTGCGTGAAATGGCCGACTTAGACATTGCAGGGAAAATGTGCCTGCTAATTGTAAGCAGACGATGAGAAGAGGTGCGAATAGCTGGGCCGCGAGGATGCAACTTACCGTGATCAGGCCGGACAGCGTCGCTTTCAATGGGAGTGGTCGAACCGAAGGTCGCGGTAGTGCTCAAGGGGTGGTGTAAGTGACATCAATGATGGCTCCATGTTTCCGCTCGGAAGGAGGCATGCATAGTTGTGAAGGATGCTGTGTTAGAAGGCAGTCGCATAGGTCGGTGACCATGATAGCCGCGCCTGCAGATACTTATACGCAGCTACCTACCTGCGCATATTTCTCTTCACATCGTTCTCTCTATCCATCATACCATCCACTCCGGACGACAGGCCACCTCATTTTACAAAGACTCTATCATCGGTGTCGGCCGCTTCTCCAAGCCGTGCACTGCAAGCATCTTCAGCGCTCCGCCCTTCTCCAAGCCGCGCACAGCACGCATCTTCAGCAGTCCATCTCCTTCTCCAAGCCGCGCACAGCACGCATCTTCAGCAGTCCATCTCCTTCTC